GGCGTGAAATTCCTCTCTTGCGCTCTTCGGGAGAGACAAAGGTGGTCGGGGTTGCTTGGGATATTGTTTAAACTCTTTCGTAAGTTTGCCCGTTTGCCTCATTCCTTCACGAAAACCTTTGATGTGACTGTATTTTGTCTCCAAGCTTTGTTTTAACAGTCAAAGTATTAAAGGTGAAAATCATTTGCTAGCGAATTAATTATTGGATAATAATTCACTGATGTATCTGGTGGCCTGGTCTTAATTGGAGTGAGCGCGAGTACCGTTAACTTTAGCTTATTCTTGTTATTGCATTTTAAATTTTAACCGTTGTTTAAAAAAAATGGTTTAACCCGTGGGCGTCCTCATTTCTGGTTTGCGGAAGGCTTCCCTCTGCGTGACCTCCCTTAGGGCACAACAAACGCTTGTTCATCTGGAGATCTTCGCAGATAGCTGCTAACATCCTCGCCTCGAGAGTTTTATTATTTTTTTTATTTATTAATGGCCTGTTTATGACTGACATCTGATTTTTCGTGTGCCTGGCTTACGGGTTTTATTATTTTTTTTCGTTTGTTAAAAAAATATGTATATAACGGTAAATATTATTGTTAATATCAATTTTGGAAAAGGCTCATATACACCAAGATGCATCCTGTGGCTCAGTTCTCATTAAAATAATCATACATTGTAGTTTGATGTATTTAGTTCATCTTGGACCAAGGATACAAACAAATAGCGAGTTCATTCGGGGGCTTTAGTTTGTTGGCTTTGTAAACCCAATAGTTTGTTTAAAGCGTCAAAATGGAAGACAATCATGTTCATTAGGCAAAGAGGGTGTGTGTATATGGGTGCCATTAGGCATTTATATTGCAAACGTTCAGTTCAGGACAACGTTATTTTATACCATGATATTTCAGGTTATAGGTCAAGAAGTTGTGGTTCGTGTATTTTCTAATATTACCAGGTAGGACTTGGCAGGAAATTACCGATGAAAATAGAGTACTGGTTCATTCGTCATCATGTCAGTTATTATGCAAGATTGAGCAAGGCCAGGAGAAATGGTATTTTCAGGTTGTCCGTCCTTCATACAGTGCGAGGGCGTTTAGGAGAAACGCTGTTCAGGTTTACTTTTCAGGAAGGGAGGCCATGTCCAGGGAGATGGACAAATGATTTCCAGGCCGTGTTTGATGCAGCGGCCTTCATAACAGCGGAGTTTTCCAGGCAGATGGTTTAACACAGTTCAGGCAGTTGTAGACATGAGAATCCTGGCTATCAGCATTTGTGGTGGCCATGCACAAGGAATTAACCATTGAGGAACCGAGTTGAGGCAGCGTTTCTCCAGCAATCACCCTAATGTAGCTAGAGACGGACGCGTCGCCACTGCATCAGCACCCAGGGGTCTGAAGCACCAAGCCACGCGTGCACAAGGCCACAAAGAATGTCTAGTCAAGCCTCCATAGCATGGTGGGGTGGTTGTCTTTTCCAGGGGAAAAGCACTTTTGACAATGTGGACAGATGCTTTGTAATGCCACAACCTAACCTTTAATTAAAGCTAGTTAAAGTTAGCATGCCATTTCTCTCCCCTTGCCCCACATGCTTGATGTACCTTTGATATAGTTTGTGTGATAGAAATCTCTATAACATGTCCACATTTGCACGTTTTAGGGGAGAACGATTCAATAATTAATGAAATACATCTGGATTCAGATTATTTAAGCATGGCAAGGTGCTCTTGTTTGAAGAAGGCAATGGCCTAAACGTTGGTACAAGTTGCCGCTATTGAGGGACTTGGCCAAATGCGGCACTAATTCTGCACACATACAATCCTTGTGAAAGGTCAGAACAGCAGTAGCGAATTTCAGCATTTTATTTTGACCACAATGGTCAGCAAGACATGCAAGTTCCAGCAAATCACAATTAGTCGTCATCAATAGCCACTGCCGTGGAGCGCCACAGCCCGGCTCCTACGCCTCCTGACGGCAATGGCAGCAGACAGGAGAGCAACGACGGCTGTGGCAATGACGAGGAGAAAGGACAGAGTCCCAGCCGAGGCCCACGATGAGGAGGGAGCCTCCAGCAACAGCAGAACAGCATCGTTAACAGGAGCTTCTTCAAAGAGCACGGGGCCCTGCAGCGACACCACGTGCTTGCCTACCACGCTGGAAGTGTCAGAGACGGTGTTGCGCTCTGGAACAAAAACAGAAATTGGTTGATGACCACTGGCCCATACAAAAGGACGCCATATGCTTCAGGTCAAGTTCCTCAAATGAGTAGGTCATTAATGGCATGCCACGGCTTGTCGAGAACTAGTCTGCAAAGTCACAGCTAATGTGATCTAAATAGGAACGATAACATAGCAACATTATCCCAAACATGAAAACCCCTTTGTCCTCTTGACAAATCGCTACTCTGCGAGTCGTTGCTGGGTAAATAAGCGCTAGATATTTAATAGAGGTCACGGTGGTACTCACTGTAGCGCCTGGTCTGCCCACACTGACGATTGCACTCGGTGACAAAGTTGGGGCTGGAGCTGTCGCACACCACGATAGAGCAGTGTAGATAAACCTGTGGCAGACAGAATGCATCGCGCCAGTATGTAAAGGGTCCCATGTTTTAGGTAGTCCTTCTGGCTGTCCAATTGTACAAAGTACACGTCATAGTCTGGGTTTGTTCAGTAAAGTCACGTAGAAGGGAAATAATAGAAGTAAAATAAAGTTACGTTTCGATTGCACCACAAGCAATTAGGTGTGAAATCAGTAAGAATTTTGAAAAAAGCGTCAGTTTTAGCCAAACTTTCTTGCTGTTGTTTTCAGACCGATTGCTTGTGTTGCAATCGAAACGTCGTGAGAATTTGTTTTATTTTTATTATTCCCCTTCTACGCGAATTTACTGAAATAACATCGAATATGCATCCCTGCAGTTATGAAAAGCTTTAAAAAACCGAAATTAAAAGTACACTTCATCCAGGGGCAGAGCCAGGGGTGACATTCTGCGTATAAGTGTACGACACTCGGTCTGGCGTACTCCGTGCAACTGCATTGTCAGAGTGTCACCAACCGATGGCGTCTAGTTCAGCCGACTGATCATTCTTGAAACTATGTTGAATGTCACCCCGGCCTGAAATCCTGGCTCCGCCCCTGACTTCATCCCTCCATGGGGACCTGGTTTCTAATGGATGGAAAGAATCGGGCACTCACGAGGTCACGGGTGGTGCTGCGGTCAGAGTTCATGAAGGCGAAGGCCTGGAGCGCGAGGCGCTTGTAGTGAGAAGGCAGCGGCAGGTCAGCGACACCAGGGAAGGACACACTGCAACAAGGAGACTGCACGGGGCAGCTGCACAAGAAACAGTGCCGTTAAACCATCAAGTCCAAGCGAGTGTCATGCATCGGATTGAATGCACGCATCTTTATTTAAAATCTGCACGCGAGGATGAAGACCAGCTTTAAAGTCAGGACGTGCTCACGACCAGCAAGGCAGCCCAAATGGCAATATCAGTGCACCATGTCCGATGCAACCATCACTGCATGTGGTCGGCCTTGTACAAACCACCATCTTTGGGAGGCAGATGGTGGCTGTGTTAACATCCAGAACATCAACCCAAGGAGCATTGTGGGCATCGACATTTGGGGATGGCACTGTAATCTTGTTTAAAACGACACCAGTAATTGGTCACCATTACACGAACCGTTTTCATTGAAAAAGGGCCGTAATTAGCACAACTCTGCTTACGTGGGGGAAACAGCTAACCAATGCCTTGAACGAGGTTGCCTCTGCAGGCCCTGCTGTGGCAGTGAGAGAGGGTTTAGAGAGCACTACCCCGCCCCCAGCCTTACCCATCCGCCACAAGCTTCCACTGCGTGGGGTCGGCGTCATCTGCCGTGGGCGTGGCCCAGCAGTCCTTCAGGAAGAGTGCCAGCGTGGGGTCAGAGCGGTGCAGCAGTGACGCCTGCACGTAGAGCGGCGTGCCCAGAAGCGTCACCAGCGGGTACTGCCAGGGCTGTACGGCATGGTGTAGGAGTTGTCTGGCAGCATGCGGAGACGGTTCACAAGGCATGTGGATTAGTGGTGTAAAAGGTCATGTTTACAGCACATGGACAAGGCAAAAGCACAAAGCCCTCTAAAACGTGCGCATAACTTTGAATTGTGACTCGGGCACACATTATCGCAACATTTTCCTGGTATAGAAAGTGGTTAACATTTCATTTGTATTTTCAGAATAAATTCTGTCACCCTCACCTCCGATTAGCATGGTTGGCTACATGCTGTGTATACAACAGCATCTCTCAATTGTCTGTAGATGTTTTAAAGGGGCACGTGGTTTCACACGGAAGTGGTGGGAATCGGGTGGCAATAGTTGGCCAAGCTCCAAGTCCCATTTTTAGCCAATTGGTAACTAATTAAGCTATTGAAAAGTATTTGTTCAAGCAAAGGTGACCTGGACAAATGAGGCCAAGAAAGCAGTCCAATTTTCCTTCAAAGTTCCCTCAAGGAGACCATTTTGGTTGATGGGTTGTGGTAAAGACGCATTTGGTAGCGCCATGGCAATTAAGGGAATCGTCATCCCTTTCAATGTCGGCCCCACACTAACAAAATGGTTTCAGCTGGTAGCTGCTAGATTTCAAAACCTCAGCAGAAATTAGCATTTAAAGTTGCACGTCGTACCATGGAGAATGTGCAAGGCGTTCTAGTTCACGTGTGGCTATGAACTCTGTTGGCAGGTTCACAATACTCTGGCAGCACAGCCTAGCATGTCATCCGTTTGTTGCAGTGGTTTGCAATTCAAGCAGCCCTGCCGATTAATGCTGCAGATGCATCCAAAAATCTCATGCAGCCTGCAATCGGTGGACATTAAACCAGCGTTGAGCTCCATCTCAGCACTGGATAAAATAAGCTCGAGCCAGAGCTAATATGGAGAATACGAACCCAAGTCTTCCCTGGGTAGAGCAACATCAGAACCCGTGTTCCCTAACGTGGCATTTGTTTGCTCCGAGGTGCATGGTGTGGGAGAGGGCAGCACTCACCAGTGAAGACCTGGAGCAGCAGGGAGAGGGGTCCAGTGGCAGTGGCTGGAGGTGGTGGTGGGAGAGTGCTCACCTGCACTCCAAGCTGCAGGTCTCCACTTCCAAGGAAGCGGCATTGAAGAACCATCCTGGTAAACAGACACCACCCGCCAAAGGCATGCACCACGCCCTCACGGCAGAAAGATTGCAGGGCGTATTGCAGACGTACCAGTGAAGGGACCCACCTTGGTTAACACCCTGTTTACATTAGCCATTAACCACATTTCTACTATTTCGGGAGACGATAAAGATCCTGTGACAAAGACAAGATGACCTTGTGCGTTGAATGTCCCAATTTGAAAATTAAATTGTGCAATATGGAAGCTCAGATTGGTCATGGTACTGCAAATATTTAATGTCGCAGGGACAGTGGCGGGGGTGGGTCTCCTCTGCAAGACTCATGCTTGACCCTCATGAGCAGAGCACTTGCTGAGGGGTGGTGGCAGTGCTTACTTGTATGTGGACGACTTGGTGATTGCGACGTTTCCATCGACGCAGAGCTCCCGATCGGAGGCCAACAGTAACTCGTACACGAGCTCCTGCCCACTCCACTGGACACACCAAAACGATAATTCCACCGAGTGATCAAGCATAAGAATAATAACTGGCCAAGAGTCGAGATGGCTCAAAATTAGATATTATGATCCCCATAAATTCTGCTTTGGCACTCAATCATAGAGGGACCCTGCTGTTCTTTAGAAACTCGTGCATTATTGTGGTCTGCACATCAAGGAGTTGTGCATCGTGAAGGGTCCGCTGCAGCACTTCAAATCCTATGCAAAGTACTTGCGACAGTATTCAGCAATAAAATAGCCATGATTGATGGCAGCATCTAACGTGAAGGGACCACATTTACCTGGTCTATCAGAGTTTGATTAACCTAAAAACGCAAAACGAGACGAACGTTGGGAGAGGTTTCGATGTTCTCCGTTAATATGCCAAAAAAAAACCACCACCGCCATGTCGATTCCCAAATAAGTGGACGCACTAGTGCAACGGAAAAGCTTGTTTGGTGAGGAACGTTTCCCAGAGCAGTTTAAAATAATTAAGGTAACACCACTCAAATGCTGGCTTGGAGCCATAGTGATCCCACCAACTATTGCCCCATCCCACAGGTGAATAGAGTCGATGGTCAGAGCGTTTGTGAAGCGGTTACTTGGCAATGTTGCTGCAACAGGCAGATCCAACCCATTGCAGTTATCTACCCAAAGTTCTAGAGAACGGGAGGTAGCTCAACTAAAGATCCCCATATTTTTGGTTCTTTCGGTGAAGCCACGTAGAAGGAACACAATAAAATACTAAGATGAAGCATTAATTTATTATTTTAGTGTTTCCCTTCTACGTGACTTTACCGAAAGAACCAAGAATATGAATCCCTGCAGTCACGAAAGCTTTAAATCAAAATTTAAAGATGCCCCAGTTCTCTACAAGATCATATATTACTGGATCACACGCGATGTTTTGACACCATTGACCGAGAGCTACTAAAATCGGGCAGCTCAAGGTTAGGTTTATCCAGTACGGCACTGGGGTGGATCGTCTCATAACTATATGGTCGATCAATTCATCAAGCTGGATGGCCATCACCTATGCCACACCTAGTTGGTGTACGACAAGGATCCATCCTCGGGACCCTCCTATTTTTAATCGTAGGTCTTTGTTTGCCAATATTATATTATCGCATGACATGGCCATCAGTATGCCGACGATACATTGCAGTGAAGTCAATATTTTTAATTACAGAGTCTCAGGAAAATCGTAGATACACTAGCAGTGCACGAAACAGATGAATCGAGAAAACTATCGGAGGTTCTGCTGGTTGGCATAGGAAAGCACATGTGGGATGATCAGGCATGGCAGTCGCCGATTCCAAGATTGTTGCCTACTCTTTTAGAGCCTTGGGCACCATACAACTCGAATAGTTCCATCGACCACCTTACGCAAAATATAGTCAGGGCTTAAAAACATTTGCATATCAGGGCTCTACACCATACTAGACCATCATTGAGTCGTCACAGCCAAGTGGCATACAGCATCGTATCGACAAAGCGTGACTATTGCAATTCTCCATCCTACAGGTCATCCGGTAGAAACATTAACAAGCTGCAAAGTGTACGAAGCGCTTTGGCACGTGTGGTCATGGGTACTGCAAAATCCAACCAAGTCCGTCCAGTGCTTGCCGAGGTGCATTGCCTTTTGGCTAATAGGTGAAGTCATTCGATTAATTTATGCTCCATTGCGATGTTCACCTGTGGCTGCCAGAAGCATGACCATCAACCAGAACTCAAATTATAATTTCTGTGCAAGAATTGATCGTTACCTCATTTGCTCAAGTCAAATCCTATGCAATAAGCAAACTATGTGCAAGCCACGATGAAGGCAAATACGGCAGCAGATACACAACTGCACCAGGCATAAGTCCACTCGCCCACGAGTGAACGCGTTGGGATTGTTTAACGAAAGTGTCAGAATCGACTCCCGTATCCCGGAGTCAAAGCACATTGCTTCAAAGAGCAACCTTAATGACTGCACAATTCGGAACATGCCAGTGATACTGCACATCAGCACTCCCATGCGATGCATTTAATCCCACTCCAGTTGACGTAAAGGTACGTCAATTGCTATAGAGATTTAGGAGTGCGGTGAACTGGTCGCTGGGTTTCAGCATGGTCACCGCACCACAAGTTACCCATTTAACTACATCAGGATGGGGGCAGGGCAAAGCAGAGTCCAGGAGCCCAGTACCTGCACAGTGGCACCACACGCTGCCATGGGCACGTCAAAGACTGCAAGGTCTGCAGACACCAGGACGGGACTGCACTGCGCGCCGCTACTGCCAGTCAGGTGCACGGTGCTCAGGTCCAGCGGTGGAGACGTCAGGTTCCGAGACACAGGCACCACAAAGCGCCCATCTGTGGTGCACACTGGGTGGAGCATGTTGGGAAGAAGGGTATGGGAGAGTTCAGTCAATCACGAAAGATGCCCCATGTAGCCCGTGGTGATGCAACAAGTTCAAGAAACCAGCATAGCAGGATGCTACTGTGCACCAACATAGACACTCACAGCAAGAGCCTATATTTTGATTTGAAGCTTTCGTGACTGCAGGGATTCATATTCTTGGTTCTTTCGGTTAAGTCATGTAGAAGGGAAACAAGTAAAATATATAATAAAAGACCGAAGAATAAATAGAGCCTAGTTCAGGTAGCAAATTATTAAACCTCCGTTTTGAGTCAGCTACGTACCAGCTTCACTGTAGAAGCAGCGGCGTAGAGTGGTGTCGTAGCAGCAGCCACTCTGTGCACAGACGTCCGCGCTCAGGACACTCTGCACAGCATTGCATGGGAAGTTCCTGCTCTGACCAGAGCACGTGGCGATCTCTAACAGCAGGAGCACAACAGGTGATCGTACAAAAACCCCACGTACTTAAATAAGTCATCGTTTGAGCTACGTGTCAAGTATGTGAATGAGTGTTACTTGGCACATGACCAAATTACCCAGGCAATGCACCCAATCTCGGAAGCGGAGCAGGGTTGAGTGTACAGCAAAGATAGGCAAAGACCGTGCTCACTGGATGTAAAAGGCTATGGCAGTGCTGCACAGTTTGTTGCATTGCAGGTCAGTGCCACTCAACATTTGCCAACGAGGAGCAGCGTGGTGAAGCATGGTCAAATTAACCCTCAAGACCCAGGGGCAGCACCAATCAGCAGTGCATTAGGAATACGCGTTCATATGGTGCAACTATTGCAATCAGCCATTGGGGGAAATTGCATCGGAAAATGATTCAAACAGCAAGTTGGTACAGTAAAATCCAAGGACATGAAACGCACTTGCTAGAAACGCAAAAGCACCAGGAGAGATGATCTAGGTCGATACAAAAGGCAGCCGTTGAGCCAGCAGACCCATTCTATAGCACCAAGTCATAGGTAGTGCAGTCTGTACGTCCGATTAGCAGAGTCAATGATACTCACCTCCGGCCCTCGCCGATCTTAGGTTCTCAGGGCAGTCGATGGTGAAAGCCCAGACGAGTCCATTCAGCCCCTGCCGCATCTCCTGCAGCTCCACCTGGACCTTCCTCCTGCCGTCCTGGTGAAATCAGCAGTCCTCAAATCGGAATTGGGGCCAGTACTCCAGGAAGGCTCAAACAAATCAATAGATTTAGTGTATTCTAATTGTTTGGGTCAGGCCAGGCCAACGACAAGGAAGACTCAATAGGAAACCCATCGCCACCTGCCAGCCAAACTAAGATAGGCAGACCACACGGGGGTTGCATTCCTGGGTCCGAAATCACTTTCCCAGGTTAACCGTTGTTATTGTAGAAACGGACGCTGCCCTGCTCTCTACGTGTAATACATTTTCCATATTCACCATACCACAAAACCTCCATTATTCTTGCCACAAACACCGCTTCACACGGGCATCACGATCCCTGGGCAGACAGCCCATTAGGTGTCAACTACACATTTGTTATTTGGTTTCACTTTCATGTTTTGTGCACTACTTGAGGTTACTTGTACATCTTTCTGGCACAAAGCTCGTATGTTGGTTAGGTCTTCCACTTACATTTTGCTGGTATACACCATACATGTCCTAATTCGCCCTGAATGCAATACTTTTCTTACATCTACGTTGGTCTCTTAGAGGCCAGCTTGGATAGTGACCTTCTGTAGTAATACAGTGCCGTTTATTCTATACCTGGAATCAAAGCAGTTTGATGCTAATCTTTGCATTGAGTAGTATTGCGAAAGCTGCATCCATTGGCAGGCGTGAATTACATAAACTGAAAGCCTGTTTTGCCGTGCTTTGTGACGTAAACAGTTAACCTTTCACATATTCCCTCTATCAAGGCGGCCACTTGGTGACATGGATGTCTAGATGGCAAATCTTTTACTGTTATGCACAGGAGGAGAACAATTATGCTAGAGATAAGACTGATGAGGCGGAGACTAAAGACAAAAAAAGAAATGCAATGAGGCAAGGACATGAGCAAGAAGAGACTTATGAATGGTTGAGAGTAGTGTAGCGGCATGGCATAATACAATGAGCAAGACGACAAACCAAGGTAAACTGGTAAGACAAGGATGGCAAGACAGATGGAATTAGCATGGCATCGATTGTACGGGAATACCAGTCAAGAGAAAGAGCTTCTGTATAAACTAGAAACAAAGTAGCTACCACCGAGCGATGATCGAAATCATAACAACTTGTAGGAATAAATAGAAAGGCAATAAAACCCACCTGAAAACAAATTCCAGAGTGGATGGTAAGAGCTAAATCAAAGATTAAATCTTGGAAACAAATTTTATAAATGCACGAGCCAAGCAAAAGGAAAATACCACGGTAGGCAAAATCCAATTTGATTAAGGCCAGACAACATCGTTGGCACGTGATAGCTGAACGGTTATGGATTGCAAAACATCAAATTCGCTACTATCACATCAGCCCCAGCGGGTACTAGTATCGACGCAAGTCACAATGGTCTCCTCGTGTTCACCTCCACGCGCACGTGGCAGGCATCACCAGCAGCGGTGAAGTGGAGCCCAGCACCATCCCTCGCGATGGAGAAGCCGCACGCCCCCTGCAAAGACTCCACATCCACGGCCTCATTCCGCACCGCTGGACACAAGAACAAAGTTAGAAAAACCTGCGTTTGGATGGCTTGTACACCACAAGTTAATGTAGGCAGCGTGACTGCAAGGGCAACAAAGGATGGCGTCAGTGTCAGCTCGAGTAGGAAGTGTCCAGTCCCAGGAACGTGTCTAGGAAACAGGAACCTCAATACGCTGCTGGAATTACGGTACTCACAAAACCAGCACAACGAACTCGTATAATAGTTGCTAGTAATAAGACTGCGTGTCAGATTTGGCGACAAGATCTTCCAAGTCGTCAACCGAGGACTCATGTGGGAAATGCAGATGATGCGAGTAGAGAACAAGAGTCTGACAGGAGTCACCAGGTTCAGTTTACAACGGAAGGCACCACCTTGCATGAAATTGTCCAATTAAAGGAAAGGAGCACGCATTGCACAGGCAAGCAAAATAAGGCATTGCTTAATAAAGGATTCACCCATCTTGTAAACACATGCAGTTAGCCAATGGAAGAATACGGTTTTAATAATCGTCGTGTTGCATTAGACTAGTTGAAATGAACCCCGAAGCCAAATCATTACCATGCTTCGAATCCCAGATTCTTAAATGTTCCATTGTTCATGTGAATTACATGTCACAACGCAGAGCGAACTAAGAAACCTAAAAAGCGATAACGTATAAGAAAAAAAACTGCAGGTCAGAAGGCATCGAAAAAAGGAGTTGGGACCAAACAAGGGGCCAGAGAATCTCAGCCCCGAATCAATCAATTTCATCGTATATAGAGTCATCATACAATGGATCAATATGGTTAATTATGTCATCACGCTTGAAGTGAAAGCTCATGGACTCACTCCGTACAAAAACACGGTAATCGCTGTCAGAGGAGCTGCTCCATCCCACAGAGAAACCCAGAGTGGAGGAGAGGCATTGCTTCAGCAGACCTGGGGGAGACAGTTCAGAAGTTGACACATCAACGACACCTTATGGAAAAATAAAAATAAAAACAGCCCGTGCCAGTTGCTGGCTGGGCACAGTGCATTCATTGTTCTGTGCACACAAGTCTGTAAGGTGTTGCGTTGTTCTAATTTGGCACAAATTCCAAAAGGTCACGTGCACGATTCGACAGTATGAAGCTCACACAAGAGATCGTCAACCTGCAGCTTCGAAGCCGCAGGTTGAAACATTGCTCTTGATGTTTTGTTCGTAGACCCCCGCATTAGACTCTTGAAATTGTAGTGGAAAGTATTCACTGTAGATCCTGATATATGCAAATTATTAACGCGCGTGCACAGTTCGCCGTTACTATAATGGAAAGGAACAGGCCATGATGATTTTGCCACGTGTGTGAAACGTATAGGTCGTGTGCGGTCAAATGTTGTACAATTCACTATTTTAAGTAAAGTTGCAAGAGTTGTGCCAATCAGTCACAAGCCACATTTTTCGAAAACGTTATTATCGTTAAAAGGAACGGGCAAAGGGAGCGTTAATGTCCCCGAACAACCCCTTTCCAATGCACTGGGGGACTATTAATCATCCACGTGCCGGTCTCGTGCCCAGCAGCAGCAGTGACGTCGCGTCACGTGACTGCTGCAGCGCACAACAAATTCACCCCCCCCCCCCACCTCGTCCTGGCAGCGCTCTCGTGGACAACTCATGTCGCCAGTAACAACTTCCAGTTCACCGAGAGACGCCGCCATTCTAGTCTTGCACACGGCGGTGTCTGTGCACACGAGGCGGTATTGAGAGAATGGGCGATGTGGGTGTCACGTGACTACGGCAACAGCAGCGCCCCCTTACCACTCGGCTCCCCCAGCGTCCGCGGTCCCAGCGACTGGCGAAGCCTCGCGAGGACGGAGCCCAGGCAGAGGAAGCTGTCGGGGGGGGGGGGGGGGGGGGTGTGGAAACAAATCTTCAAGGGGGTTGGGCGGGGGGTTTCCCCTCTAGAAAAAAAAAAATCTAAACTTGAAAATGAATTTCCTGCCTTAAATATAAAAATTCACTAACACATTGGATGGACTTTATATTTATTTACAATACTGTCTAATAGTGTATTGCTCTTTGCTTTGTTTTACTATTTCTTGTTTAAGTGTATGTAATAGCAGAGATTAGGGATTAATAAAGCACATACATAACCACAATCATAAACAAATCTATTTTACAGCAATATATTGGGGATACTTTCAGCATATTTGAATATTGGGGGGAGATGTGTTCCCCCAAATATATATTACAATTACGCTCTTGGCCCTCTCTTACAAACCTACACAATACTTCATTAACCAGAGCTGTTGAGACACCACTAAAACCCACCACCACTAAAACCCACCACCACTAAAACCCACCACCACTAAAACCCACCACCACTAAAACCCACCACCACTAAAACCCACCACCACTAAAACCCACCACCACTAAAACCCACCACCACTAAAACCCACCACCACTAAAACCCACCACCACTAAAACCCACCACCACTAAAACCCACCACCACTAAAACCCACCACCACTAAAACCCACCACCACTAAAACCCACCACCACTAAAACCCACCACCACTAAAACCCACCACCACTAAAACCCACCACCACTAAAACCCACCACCACTAAAACCCACCACCACTAAAACCCACCACCACTAAAACCCACCACCACTAAAACCCACCACCACTAAAACCCACCACCACTAAAACCCACCACCACTAAAACCCACCACCACTAAAACCCACCACCACTAAAACCCACCACCACTAAAACCCACCACCACTAAAACCCACCACCACTAAAACCCACCACCACTAAACCCACCACCACTAAAACCCACCACCACTAAAACCCACCACCACTAAAACCCACCACCACTAAAACCCACCACCACTAAAACCCACCACCACTAAAACCCACCACCACTAAAACCCACCACCACTAAAACCCACCACCACTAAAACCCACCACCACTAAAACCCACCACCACTAAAACCCACCACCACTAAAACCCACCACCACGCTCCTCCGGCCTCCTCACCTGGTCAGGAGCAGTAGAAGAACTCGCAGGTTTGCCATCGTTAAATAAATCGGCTGCGTCGCCTTCCATCGCCCACGGCACCCCCTTTTATATGGAGAGCCCTCAGCGATCCCGATCCAGATTAGATCAGATCCACCCACGCATTGTCTCATCAGCGAGATTTTATCAGAGCAGATCCACCCACGCATTGTCTCATCAGCGAGATTTTATCAGTGCAGATCCACTCACTCATTGTCTCATCAGCGAGATTTTATCAGAGCAGATCCACTCACGCATTGTCTCATCGGCGAGATTTTTATCAGAGCAGATCCACTCACTTATTGTCTCATCGGTAGAGGTTTGCTCGATGTCGGCACAAGTGCATGGGTGGGAGCTGCACCGCAATCACGCTGCACGTACACAGGAGGCGTTAATTGGCACATTACTGAAACCGAATGAGCCCGCGCGCAGATAAAAGCCCCGAGTCGGGACGAGAGCGCTGCATTGGCTCTGCTGGTGTCGTGCTAAGTCTCGGTTTTTGTTGTCCTTGCGATGGAGACCCCGAGGGCTTTGTTCGCGGTCTTGGGGTTGTTATGTCTTGCCTCTGGTAAGTGGAGTTTGGTTGAAACATGCATTTTCAATCTTTTTTTTGTCGTTCTATGCAACTACCGTGTTGCCTGGTGAGAACACCATAATATACCCGTACTAACGATGGGTTTGCTAATGTTGCGTGGTGGTTGATTCACTGTTCTATATACCTGAACACCAATTTGCGTCCCAGTAATGTTAACATTGGCTACAAGTGTGGGCTTTGCCCTAATTCAGCCCGTACTGATCTGTATGGTCAAACTGACGACAGCAGTGTGCAAGACTTGATCCAATAGTGGATTGCCAAAACGTATTCTTAACCTGTCTTAACGCGTGTATTAAGTTACTGAGGTGCTACTGGAGAATTCGAACCCAAGTATTCGCAGCTCCGTGTGGATGATTGTGACTGCGAGTTTCTGAGACTTTCTACGGCTTCACTGACCACCTGTGTCACTGTTTGGGTAACTCTCGCGCCTCGTCCCGTGTGGCACCGCCAGCTGTAGTGGCCACCTCCGCCACGGTGAGTGTGGTGTGTGACGAGGCGACGCTCACGCTGACCGTGAGCAGGGACCTGTTCGGCACGGGTCACCTGGCCCAGGCGAGTGACCTGTCCCTGGGGGTGCCAGCCTGCCCCGTCACTGGGAGCGACGCCCTTGCTGGGACGGTGACCTTCCTCTACGCACTGGAAAGCTGTGGCAGTAGCCTCCAGGTAACTGGCTGCTAATGCTGTAACATAATCTTCGCAATCCAACTGCTTTATTTTTTAGCCGAGTGTAGATGCATAAGAACTACAATTCCGCATTCGATTCGAGCCAGACTTCTTCAATAACAGCGGGGTGTATTGCTGTTGAAGTCCCCTTGGTATTTGTATATCGGTCATTGCATTATTATGTTAAGGTCTGTTCTGGATGACCAGTCGTAAATTTGAACGTTTTTCTTCTCCAATAATACATCAGGATTCTGCATCTGCATTGGTTTGTGTGGATGTGGTTTATATGGTGGACATGAGCTAGGTAAATTATTTAAACCGAGGAACTGCTGCATTGGGTCTTTCACCAAGGTGTTTGAGCTTTTTTTTTTTCAATTCCACTAGTATCCCACTGGGTAATAAACCCCATGTCTTCCTCCCGTCTTAGATGAGTGCAGAGCTGCTGTCTTACGAGAACTACCTCTACTACCGCCCCACGTCCAACACGGGCATTATCCGCACAAACTACGTCGCCGTGCCGGTCGTTTGCCGCTATCCCAGGCGAGTTGACCAGCAGTCTCTTGTTGACATTTGCTTCATTTTTGAAGTCCAGCTAAACTGCTTGTAGTTCTACCACTGGCTATAAAAATTACGTTCCGTTTCGTGTGCTTTAGCTTTGCGAGGCCTGAATTGCAATAAAGCCAAAATGACAGCGATTTAATCCACGCATGGAAAGTCTCCCTGTACTGTGTCGTGGAGGTTTTTGGTGCCAACTTTACTGATGGGTTCACATCAAGCGGCTGTATTATGGCCTGCCTCAAACATCCTGCCTTACAAATGTCCACGTCTGAAGTGGTTCATGCATTGCATACTGTGTGAACCACGGTCCTCTTAATTGTACTCCATTGGATAGCATTCAATGCACCAAGTCTCATACTTACTCTTATTTGGTCCTCGTCGGTTGTAAGTCTTGCACTTTGCGATGTTAAATATACTCTGAAAATATGGTTCTGTATATATTTGCTTGTCTATTATTTGCAAGATGTTAACGGCATTGCAATAATAATCTGGTCACAATTTGTGCTGTTGAGAATCGCCAACCTCTGCTCATTGTAGCGAATCTGTGCCTGATCTCCTCGCTGCAGGAAGGGGAACGTGTCCAGCAATGCTATCAAACCCACATGGATCCCCTTCAGCAGCGCCAAGGTTATGCAGCAGCAGCTGAGCTTCAAGCTGAGGCTCATGACTGGTCAGTGGTGTGAGGACATTGATTGCCTATTATGTACATGGCTGCTACCAGGATGGTTTAGTCTAAACTGCCATTCAAGATGTTTACTTGGTATTTAAGAATACGCCAGATGTATAACCGAGGTTCTTAAACTTTATATCATGTTTAAGAATAGGTTTTCCCCATGTTTCTGACAACAAAACAGATGTAAAGATGTTAAAACGCCAAATTGAAGCCTTTTACAAGCAATCGTGTCTGCATGATTCCTTCTGACCACACATTTTGTGGTTAATGCAGACACATCATTCCTTGCAAAAGGTTTCAGTTTGGTGTTTCAACATCTTAACACCTGTTGCCAAAAAATGGAAACCTATTCTCATATTTTGGTACTGGCAAAAGGTCCCATGATTTATCTGGGATTCTTCCACAAGCAGTGGCGTGAGCAAGCACTTTCCGAGCTGCGCTTTGAGTCTGCACTCGGCCTTGGTAATTGTGTTTTGATGTTGTCTAATTGTTTGTTTTTATGAAGACGACTGGAGTGTGGCGCGACCTTCCACCGTATACCAGCTGGGCCAGACTCTGAATGTCGAGGCGAGCGTGCAGACGGTGAACCACGTTCCACTCAGGATCTTCGTGGTCAGCTGCTTTGCAACACCGGTTCCAGACAGGAACTCTCCCCTCAGCTACCAAATAATTTCTAACTCTGGGTGAGATTTCTCTCTCTCCTAATCCTGTCTGAATGTTTATGCTCCTTGTCGTAAAGGTGGCATTCCACTGCTTGAGCATATAACAGAGCCTGACCTTGGAATGCCGCTGAATCTTGCTCTGATGGTTAAACCTGCCCAGGTGCATGGTGAATGCTTTTGTCATGTGGTGTCGGTCACACTACTGATGAGAGATGTGGTCAATGTGTGCCATTGGTGACTGCTTTGGTTTGTTTGGGTGGGAGGAGCCCCTTGCCCCTTAAGAAGTGGGCTTGGCGCACCCTCAATGCATCATTATATAGTAGAAGAGGCGTACGACATCTCCTAGCGCTGGCTTTCTGCTAGCCTGCCCTATGTAAAGCCACATGTCATACGTCTACGGTGTCTGTGCAGGTGTCTGGTGGATGGCAAAGTCTCGTATTATGCGCGCCTTACTTCTGGCTTCCTGCTCCGGCAAAGCGACAACGTCCTTCGCTTCTTCATAGATGCCTTCCACTTCCTTGCGACGTTGACCAACAATGGCGATCAGGTGATCTACTGTAATGCATGCTTCTACAGACACCACCTTTAGCCACGTAGTAGGCAGTGTGGTTGAGTGAGAAACTCTCTTCCTCTTCTCGGTCCAGGTTTTTGTCTTCTGCCAGCTGAAGGTTGCAGATGTTGCAACATCTCCAACAGCTGTCAATAAAGCTTGCACCTACAGCCCCTCGGCTGCATACAGGTTGGTCTTCTTCCTTGCATTGCCCAGAAATTTGTTTTTCAGTGTCTTCCATCCAATAGCTTAATCCATGCCTTGCATGTGTGCTTAACTAAAATCCCTGAGACCAAACTTCGGTTTCTACCTGCAATTGGTATTATAACAAATATTGTGCAGTCCCACGGGACTGCTCTTGTTAAGATGTATTCAGGTGGTTATTGGTCGAAGCCTGCATACGACGTCTGTAATTGGTTTGAGCTCATTTTGAAAAATCTCTGCCTGGTAGCCAGACTTCAAATCTCACTCGTGGCTAATGTCAGGAGCATCAACTGAGCCGCGCCTTCGTAGATTTTTCTCAAGCTGATCACTAGGGCTGGCCACAGACTGCCCCTTGATGCTACAAATACTTGCAATACTTTTCTTTGAAGGCTCTGACTATACAGGTCGGGTGATGTCATACAGTTAAACAAAACTACGCCCAGAGTTGTATTCCTGGCCACGGCTCCCATCGAGTGCGGTTTTCTCGCCATCAGTCTGGTCGAGTGGTGCTGGCCAAATGGTACACCACTGTACGTTGCTTGCCCTAAACGTTTGCTCAATCGGCACTTTCCTTAAATGTGAACGGATACGCGTGAGCATTGCCTGTGCCACTACAGACGACATTTGTGTGCAATGCAGGTGGGTCTCTGCTGATGGCTCGGACTCGGTGTGCAGCTGCTGCGAGTCCACGTGCCCCAGTGGAAGAAGGCGCAGGGATGTGGCAGCAGTGACTGGTGAGTACAGCCGTCGTAATCGGCCATTTAGTCATGTACAGAAGACCCTTGAATATCAAGGGTGTTACGTTCTAGGAAATTGTCAGAAAATCCAAACTGCGACATTCACCATGTAAGCCTTACCTAAATAATGGTGTTGGGTATGTGGCAATCAAAAATGGATGCATCACGATTGAAATAAGTACTGTCATATGGCAAGTAAACTAAATAGCCACTGTATCCTTGTAGACGCGATCTTTGCTGTAGTCTGCTCGGGTTTCCGAGTCCACGCGCTCGTGGTGAATAATTACCTGCTGCGCTGCTGGTCCTCTGAGTAGCAGCTGGCATGCACAACTACCCTTGGTGGCACCTGGGCTTCAGGAGGGTTCCTGCCGCGGTCAGCTGCTCGTCACAGCTCCTCGCTCAATTCTCAAACTTCTAACATGTATTTGACCACCACCTTAGTTTCTCGCAACTCTAACTTGGTGCAATACAACTTATCGCAGTCTGCAACTCAAAACATCACGATGAATGTA